GAATGCCATGATCATGTATTCCTTATAGAGAACCTGACCAGCTCCAGATTGTTCATTACTCTGTACACTACATGATAATAAATAATACTAGTAAATAATATACATATCTTATTATTAGGTAAGTAGTTCAGAGTGTTGAGAAAACAGTCTAAATGCCTGAGCAATGTACCTAAGTCCTCACAGTATGACCCTGTTATCCCAAGTCCTTCTTGGCCCTCTATCCCTATACTTAAGCTTCAGTCTAGAGAGCTTCCTCCAGTTATCTGAGTGTGCCTCACTCTTTCTCATGATCTCAAATGATTTCCTGCATCTTTATCTCTTTCACTTCTATTTATTACTTGTCTTCTTTCTTATTATCCTTTTAAATTATTTTCCATTCTAGGAAGCACCCCTTTACAGTTTTCAGTAAGCATTTCCTAATCATTCTTCCTTAGTCTTCTGTGTACTTGCACCTCAGTGGTATCACATTGATTTGTAGCCACGACACTACAATACAGTGAGAAAACTTCCCTGACAGCTTTGTGTCAGCAGCCTCCCAGTACACACGTGCATGTGCATACACACATACATGTCCATTCTCTGTATCTATACCTACTTCTCTCAAGATCATAGCCCTTCTACTAATCTAAAATCATCTTATTTCTTCTTCCCCTCACCCCAAACTAAAAGCTCCAAGAATTTAGCAACTCTGATGTCTTGATGCCACTGTAATATGAGAACCCACCAGACATATTGGCCATGCAATAAATATTTGTTCAGAGGATAAATATAACTAACTTTGCATAAAGTTCAAAATGATTCAGTGTGGTGTCTGAATTTATCTGTGGACTGAGATTGGTCTTGAGTTATGTATGGAGACGTGACATGTATCCTGGGGACTGGCAATTCTTCTGACTATTCTCCCCATAGACAAATGTCTTTTGCTGTATATGCGGTAATAGGGGAAAAAGATTTCTAACCGCCACAACTAACTTTACCCACATGTGGCATGGTAATTGACACACTGGTTAAATGAATTTCTTTTACTCATTTGTTTTGAGGACAGAACTGTGACCAGTTTATTTTTGTATCCATAGCATCTGTATCCATAGTGCCTAACTTAGAGTAGATATTTAATTTAAAAATGCTTAATAAATATTTAAGGATAAGAGAATGTAAGATCTATAGAGAAATAATACATAGTGAGTGAAGATAGGACTAAATTTGAAAATATAAATTTGTTGGCCTTTATTCCAGGCACTTAATGGAACTAGAGGACCACATTTTTCTCTGCTGAGATACTTTTTCATAGGTAGCAAAATTATAGTTTTTACAGATAAAGCAATGGCAATTATTGTCATGTTCTTATTTAATTAGAGCTGATTCTCGTCTCTATAATGACATAATTGGAAATAAAAGTAAGTTTATACAGAAAAACAGCCAGCAGGGAACTGGAAAGTGTAACTAAGAAAACGATGGCAATTATGTGGTGGAACTGTATCTCAAAAATGTTTGCCTTAGGGGATCAAAAGCTTATTTCTGGCATTTGAAGGCTACAAAAGTTAATATCCCTTATGTATCTCTTCATAAAACAGATCTTGCCTTGCTTTTCAAGATTTATATTTTATGTGTTACTCTGAATTAGGCAGATTATGAAGATTGATTGTTGTTTGTGTCTATATGCCTGCGGTTTTTTTAAAAATTAAAAGTCAAGAAATGAAACTTATAATTAGCATTTTTAAGGTTATTCTTGACATGTGATAAAAGAATGAAACAATTCTAAAATATCTGCCAAGAGCCTGGAAATAACAGGAAATAGATTGCCTATCGAGAGAAAAATTTTAAAACAGCACAAAGTGGTTTATAACCATGCCACTGTACAAGTGTCCTTTACAATCACTGCCGAAGTCCCCATGCTCCACCCACCTCTCAGCAATCCTGTCTTTCCTCATTGACCCAACAGGAGATCAATCAGTTTAGTTTTTGGTTAGTAACCTGAGGTCAAAAGACTGAAAGTGATAGAAATAAAGGTGACCCTCAGCCTTCTTCAGCAAAGAGAGCCTTGAAAACAGGATTTAATTATTGTCAAATTATCTTCAAGTAGCCATGAGAGTATTTTTGACCTAATATGAGTACATACTCAATTATTTGAGCACATCGTCTTATTATGGCATAGCTATCCTTGCATACTAGAAGTGAGTAGGTTGGTTATAATAATGTAAATAAGTCCATGTTAAAAGTTCTCAGTTATCAGGGCCAGCAGTTAGTGTAGTGGTTAAGGTGTTGGACTCCCCCATGGCAGACAACAGTTCGAGTCTTCAATCTGCCTGCTTGCCTTCTAACTTTCTCTCTCTTCCTCTTTCTCCCTAGTGAGCACACATGCTCTATACCAATTTTATTTTTGTTGTTTTTTGAGAGGTTTTAACGTGCATTCACCAGAAGGAAAGAGATAGAGAGACAGAAAGCAAGAAATCACCTACCAGGGAAATGGGCAGGCCACAATCCCTTCTCCTCCATTCTACTCTGGGGATCTTGGGCACACACGCACATGCATCCTGTGTGAGTTTAAGCCAGGGGTCCGGGACTTGAACCGCGGTCGACTACATGAGAGTCCAGCGACACAGCCTTATACCAACTGCTGGTCTGCCCTATATCAAGTATTAAAATAATAATAAATAAAATGTTTTACAGTTCTTAGTTACAAGATATTACTTGCTTTGATTTTATGTATTGGGTTGTCAGAAAAGTTATGACGTATTTTTCTGCTTTTCTGTGCAAAAATATGACATGACTTTCTGAGGACCCACTGTATTTTTTATATTTGATTGCTGTAAACAAGACCAGAGTGATTCTGACATATACAGCTCATGAACCATACTTAGAGGAGTGAAGCAGCTTCTTCATCTACCACAACTGGAACTGAAAGATTATTAGCAGCTCTATGTTTAGGGCAAAGGTATTAGCGTGAGAGAAAATATGAGCCATCCCTGAACTCTCATAGGTCAACATTAGTAGATATCATGTTTTATTGTCTTTAGGTCTCATTTCACACATTGAGGTTTTTCTTGAAAAAACAAATTCTCCATGCCAAAGATACAGATTTTGATATATAATTCTTTTTTTTTTTTTTTTTTAACAGAGATTTTGTTCTTAGGGCACATATGCTCACAGGAGAGAAAGAGAGAGACAGAGAGACAGAAAGCCAGAAATCATCCCCCTCCCCCAGGGGGATGGCCACACCATAACCCCCTCTCCTCCATTCTCCTCCTGGGATTCTGGGCACATGTGTACACGTGGCAAGTATTAGTCCCAAGTCACCAGGTCCCAGACTCGAACTATGGTCGACTGCATGGGAGTCCAATGACATGACCCTTCTGTTATGACATTGCGTCTTCTGCTGATCCCTTGATATTCTACTATAAGGTTTAGAAGATGCATAGTTAAATATTGGTAGCTAACTACCCAACACATACTCAAAGATGCTATTCCTAAAAACTTTTATTACAGTTTTCTTTAGATAGTTGTTCTCAATCCTAATTAAATATTTTAATTTTGCTTGAGGAACTTTTAGCAATATTGATACCTTGATTTTACTCTGAACTATTTTCCTTTAAATGATTTGGCAGAAGTCACTTGGAGAGACTATATTTATGAAAATGAAGCAGCTTTGCCAGTTTTGAGAGTCATAGCCTTAAGCCTTAACATTTTTGTACCATTGAATAATCATACTTAAATCATTGAGATGGAATCCCGCATGGACTCGAGCCATGTGCTCCACACTAATTATTCTGTTTCTTTCCCTTTTTTTTAGTTTCCTCCATTCCTTTGATTCTTTCTTCTTGGTTTATAAGCATTCATAAAAATCCCTGTGCCCTGTCTAAACGAGACCTCTTCATGCTGCCACCCCATTCTTGACTCTTCATCTCACTTACAAAATTATTTAAATCAAACAAGTCAAATGCTGTCTATTTCTATATCTATATCTATTGCGTTCTTGGAAAAGTCATGACTTTTTTTATGTTTTTCTATGTAAAAATGCATCAAGACTTTTCTGACAACTCAATATAATTTTACCTATCTATCCAGTCTAGATTTCACTCATATCACAATACTAAAGTCATGTATCTCAAGAAG